GCACAATGTAAACTTAAAAAAATTAAATACAATTTAGAAATAAGTTGAAGTACTAAAATTAACTGAAATAAAAATAAACTAAAGCTAAATAAGAATATATAAAAAAAAAAGACAAAAGCACATAACAAAATTACTACGAATTTAACTAAAATGAAAATGTAAAATATAAAAATAACAGCAAATTAAAAATATGAATAAAAACTATAATAGTACACAAATAATACTTACCTCCAGTGTGAACTCGGGTAAATTGGTATATAGGGGCACTTATATTTAATGTATACATATATAAACAATAATTAAAAGTTTTTTTTTTTAATTACGCTAAATTGTAATCAACCACAAGTGTAATTTAGCTATATAAAGGTTAACTTTAAATTATCCTTATAAACATTATTCCACTTTGTGTTGTTTAAAGCAGTAGCTTTAATTTGCCAGATAAAACATGCATTAATGCCCTTGCAATGGAAGTCTCGATCTTAAGCGTATTATTAACATTGCTTATTTTTAATTTACCATACGTTTTACTTAATTTTACAACAAAGTGATTTAATCCGTAATTCACGAAAGACACACATTAGTTAATTCTATAGTATGTGCTCGATGTCACAATGTAATAAATGAGTGAATGTGTATGAGCATGTTCACCAGCCGTCATTGGTTTCATTTTTCTTCAGTCTCCGACATCTGCACAAGTTTAGACACAAATCGCAAGCACGACTTGATGTTTTGGACGTTCTCGACATATTTCTACATAGAAACACGCCTATCCGAAGTCACGGAAGTGCCTAACTAATTTACCCGATCATATTTAAGAAAACAATACGACAGTCTGAGACGGTCAGTATTACATTTTTCGCTTGGTTAGTAAATATAATGAAAGTTGAAACACTTACATGACTCCGTGTTCTGTCTGATGTGACCGAAGGCTCGAGACTTTTACGCACAAAAGGCGGAGCCAAACTGACGCGTCATCACTCCGCGGTGACTCAGAGTCAAGGCAAATGATTCAACAGAAACTCCATTCGCCACACTGAGTCATTGATTTTCGTCTGAAATTAATAGACCAAACAGCTGTGATTGCACAATGACCTGATTTATATGAGCCGTTTCTGTTTGGTACTGTTAGTACGCAGGTCATGGTCTACCTATAAATACATTCTTATGCTTTCATGTGCCATAGCCATATCATCCCCCTGTAGCCCAAGACTGGTTGCCCACTGAAGCTAAGCAGGATTGAGCCTGGTCAGTACCCAGATGGGAGACTTCCTGGGAAAACTATGTTGCTGCTGGAAGAAGTGTTAGTGATGCCAGTAGTAAGTACTCACCCTGCAGTCTGTGTGGGTACTAATGCCCCAGTATAGTGACAGGGACACTATACTGTAAAAAGCACGG